CATCCATCCATCCATCCATCCATCCATCCATCCATCCATCCATCCATCGTTTACCTGCTTCTTCCTTTTCGGGTCACAGGGATCACTGGTACCCATGTCCAGTCATCACAGTGTGAGAGGCTGGGGACACCTGGACAGGTCTCCAGTCCATCACAGGGACAGAGAGACAAACGAGACAAACAACCATTCACTCTCTCACTCACACCTACAGACAATTTAGAGTTACCAATCAGCCTAACATGCATGTTTTTGGTCTGTGGGAGGAAACCGGAGTACCTGTACAGGTGGTAGAGCTGTTGCCTCTCAGTGACAAGGTTGCCCAATCAAATCCCAGCTGGGGAACTGTCTGAGTGGAGTTTGCATGTTTTTGTCCGTGCACGAAAATGAGAAGTGAAAATAAAAAAATGGATGAGCCGACGGAAATCAAACTGAGAATTGACAAAAGGGAAACACAACAGCAGACTGATTATTATTGAAAAGTCCATCAAGAGTTGCTCCCGAAAACTTCCCCATGGACTTCTGAATTTTTAAGAACAGCCATTTATTTTATACATTCAAAGTCTAGTGTTTCAACTAGAATCACAATGACGCCAGTTACGTACAAATCTGTTTCATAATGAAGAGATTTCTGTTTTTGATCACACAGAAAACCTATACCATTAAATAAAGCCTACAGACCATTTCCTGTATAAAGTGTTACGTTGGCTTCCATTAGTGCATTTAAACATTTTTTTCATTCAACCTTTATTTATACAAATAAATCACATTGAGCCTCGAAGACTCATTTACAAGTGAGACCTGCTTAGACGGACAAAAAGTAATGAAAGTGACACATATTTGGGATTTGGAGGCAAAATAAATTCCTATCAAACTCTTTCTCCTTGACTGAGGAAAAAGACCCTGATACTGAAAAAAATATCCCGCACATAGTGATGCAGACATCCCACAGGGGAGGGGAGATGACAAGAGCAGTGATCATGTCAAGGACACTCCAGAGGGACTGTAGGAGTTCTGATAAGAATGGCACAATCAGTCAGTTCCCTCTGGTGAGATCCGTAAACACTCTCGTGCCAAGGTCGACCTGGAACAGCGCCAGATAAAATCCAAGTCCTGAAATGATGACACAATGTTTATTCAGCTGGGTCCCTCTGATAGGTCCGCAGACTTCCTCGGTGGGAGGAGAAGGGAGGAGGGAGAGCGTCAATTTACAGAGCTTCCAGGCGAATTGAGATGAGGTCAGCTGGTGAGCTGAATTCAGATAAGCAACAATTTGTTTTGGGAACAGGCAGAACTTTACTGATTCATGTCTGTCTTGAGTCTTTGCTGGTCCTCTCGAATCCCAAACGTCCAAGTTAAGTGGACAGACGCAGGCAGTCTGACCAGGGCCAAATTTACTGCCAACGACTTCCTTGTTTGTTGATAGACCAGGAACCAGCCGAATCCAAAAAGCAGGAAACCAGTTATCATAAATCCAATTGCATATGCATCCTTGACCTTTGTCTTCTCATCGAGAAAATTTTATCAATTGAGAGACCAGCTGACCAGATCCATATCAAAAATTTACGGTTACATACTTTGGCATGGTCAGTGCCTAAACGAAGTTACAGTATATTTAAACGGTTGCATAAAGATGCAAACACACAAAACAAAACATTTCAAATACTATAACTCAAAGAGGTCATTTTACTCGAGGTCGAATGAGACAAAGTGTTGTCCGGCCACAAATGAATGCAGGAGTGAAGTAATTTCTGAGAGACTGCACAGAAATCTGACTACAGGTTTATTTTTTAAACTGCATGCCCTCTTCATCTTGTATACCAACAAGAAAAGAGACATTAGGACTTTTAAATAATTGTTTACATAAAGATTTTTTTCACCTTTGCACATACAGTATGTTGTCGGCACAACATGTTTTTTTTCTGCTTGGTAATGATCAGAACGTAAACAAACACAAGAAGACGTGAAGGAGAAACAGACATGGCATGAAGCATAACATAGCGACTGCTGCAGCTGTGATTAATGGAACAGGGAACAGGTGTAACTGGGTGTAACTGGGTGTAACTGGGCGTGGCAGGCTGACAGAAGGAGCAGAAACTGAACGGAGGTAGAAGTGGTTAGAACACAGGGGAACACACGTAGGGAAAGAAACAAATGCTGGTGAATATTCTCAGACGTACGGGTCATGATCAATCCAT